GATTCAATCAAATTAAATTTTGGAAAAAAAATGCTTTTCGTTTATTTGTACGATAAATACATTTTCTACCATAATAATATGATGTATACGTATTATTACTAAGTTTGATATACATAAGAAATGTAATATTACATAATGTAAAATATAAGTAATAAAATATTAGTAAAATATAACATATTATTTTAAAATACAAATGAGTATTTCTCATTAGGAATTTTGGAATAAACTGTTAACCTAATTTAAGTTAGTTTGTTTTCAAATAACTTGCCGAAGTAACTTTTTTCAAAAATAAAATTATTGAAATATACTAAAAAATACTTGAAAATATAAATTTGAAAATGCTTTTATTATATCATGTTTTTAAAAAAAATCCTATTAAAGGACGTAAAACAATGTAAATTATTCTAAAAATATTTTTTAATAAGACAATATTATTGTTATGCATATTTGTTTTGTTATGAAGCTATTTTTTTAATAGTGTAACAATGGGAAATGTGGATTTTCAGTTCTAGCATTTACTACTTATAAAAAACAGTAATCTTTTAACAATTCAAATCGACCTATTAAGTATGTATAATTTATGTTTAAGAATTAACCAATTGTTAAAAAAAAAATACACACAGGGACGACTGTTTCACGTAGATCATTAGTAATTAGCACGGGCTTAATATGGGTTTTTTTTCAATTGGATTATTATTTTTCAATGCTGTACTCGCTTATACATGTATCCAGTGCTTTGTATAATAATAACATGTACCTAGTCCAGTAGTGTATATGTTGTATATTGACACTGACCTATAGACGGGACTATTGTCGTACAACTTGTATGCATACTGCACAGACTCCTCGTGCGGTCGATGAAACAATGACTGTGTAATTAGGCGTTCAAATTAACATATTCTGAATAAACTATAATGTACATAATATTAAACTGTATGACTATATACACTCGACGTGTGTTCTTGGAAAATGCTAATCACGCAAACAGGCTTACATAAACAAACAAAAAAAATCTCTCATTAGAGGTCGAAGATAACGTAGGTATAGATTATATAGTGCGTTACTAGGACAGTGAACAATTAAAAAAAGCCAATGTAAATAAACCATAGCGTTCAGCAAAAATATTCTTATATAACATTAGAGGTAGGCGTTATTCAATAATATTTTTTTTATCTAAATGAAAAACTTTTCGAGTAAAATATTAATCGACTGAAAAAAATTACTAATTATTTGAATATATATCAAATTTTTTGTGATTTATTAAAATAAAAACTCTATTGACTAGCTATATTCGAGTACAAATATTATTTGAATTAAAGATAATTGTGTTTTTAGTCGAGTAAAATAATGGAATAACATATCATCATAAATAATTCATCATTCTTTAAAATAATATGCCTGTATCTCATATTTAATTTAAAATTAACTTGTTAATAATTCGCAATAAAAAGATCAATATTACCATAATAGTACTTAACTTAAGTCAATTTTTCTACTAGTAAAACGCAGCAAATAATGAGTTATTTAACATTAATTTTCATCGAACGAGACAAAAATTTGTTTTTTAAATTATGATTTGGATTTTATTTTAAACACAGCAATATTAATTTCCAACAGATTTACTTCAATGACGGTCAGTTTTTTTTATCCACCGTAAAGAAGTTTTACTTCAAAAGTATTTTTTTTTTTAGTTTTGGATTCAAGATTTTTGTATTTAAATACTGATTAGGTTTTATAGCAATTTGTGTTATCTATGTTTCAAAATGTAATTGGTTAGTTCCGGAATTACCAATTTTAAATTAAAATGATCTTTTTATTTAAATCAATACGTTATTCTTTTTGCTTTAAATTTTATTCATTTTTAAACAGGTACTACATTTTGTTCAAGTCTGATTATAAATGTCAAGCGATACTGACGTGTAATTAATCAACATGGTAAATAGTGATGTATTTGTAATATACATAAATATATGCATTGGTGTCGCTTTGCAGTACGGATGTATCAAATATCCTGACACACAATATTAATATGGCTACTGTTGTGACTAGTGGTATATATCATATGTCCACAGCTTGGTATCATTATGATGGTTTTGTATTAATGCATTTCTATTTGTTTGTGCATACATATAATATATGCCGAGATGTGAATTTCATTCGAGACATGTATATAGTAAGTCATTAATCACTTAAATCCCGCTCTTGGTCCCATTTTTGGGAACGCAAACAGTTACATATAGAATCTATTTTGTTTAATATGAAGCATGAACGTTTTTCTATTAAGGAGTCCTACGTGAATGTAATGGAAAAAAGTATAATATGACACACAAAACAGATATCTCGCCAGATTTGAAACTGGCAAAATAAGTGACTTTCTGATTTATAAACAATGTTTTTTTATTCGCAATAATAAACGTACCATCAAACTTTAGGCGATGACAATTTAACTTAAAGAGACGAGTCACATTAGGTCAAACTGACGCCACGCGTACCGCCTTGATCTAGTTATGATTTTGTACAGTCAATAGAATGTAGTTTTCTTTTTTTTTTTAAAAGAAATAGTTACAACTTGATACTTGCTTAATGAAAAGTTGAAAAAAAGTAAACGATTTTATGTTGTAGCTTAGAATCGTTAGCTTTACAATAGTAGTTTGTTTTTAACTATTAAAATAATCGTATAAAAAGCATAATAATAACTAATAAGGTGACCCGATGAAAAAAACAATGCTAGAATAAAAAGTATTGAGGTTAATAATTACAAAGAAAATACATAGTTGTCAGAAATTAGAGTGAATTTGACCTACTAAGTTAGAAAATCCATTATTAAGATACTCGGTTTGTTCATTGGTGCGTTTAAGTCAACAGTAGTTGTTGCTCAATGTAAATTACACTTTACCGAAGGAAATAACGTGAGAACTACTTATCGTTTGCTTGACCAACTCTTCGAAACTATAATATTCTAGTTACCACCACTCATCTGTCACTATATAGAACCAATTTTTAAACAGCTGTAAAAAAAAACGTTTCAATGGTTTTACTCAAGAGCAGCTATAATTTCGCCGAAACAAAAGATACAATTCAATATAAGTACATCAGTGTGCATACTAATTAACACATAAAAGTAAAAGTTGACATTATTAAAAAAATGTATTCTAACAATAAGTGAAAAAATTGAAAACAATTGTTATTTTTAATCTTAAATATATTATTCGAATTTTAAAATTAATAAAAAAAAAATCTTTGAATAGGTACAGTTTAAGTTCTCGTTTTTCAAAAATTTAAGAAGATAACATTATTTTCTATCTTATTTTTTGGGTAAGCGAGAAGCTGTTCATTAGAAAGCAATTGTTCGCAAAACCTATGAAAAAAAAATGTGATTTCCTTTAAATTTTCCTTAATACTAAACTAATAAATATACAAGTTTTTGCCTAACCGTACGCCTTAAAAATTACTTTATGACTTGTCAACTGAAATATTGTATTTTATTTTATTAAAAGTTTTAACATTTTCTAGTCTATTTAGAGTCAATTTAAGATACTTATATAATGTTGTAATTATTTTTAACAATTCATGACATTCAGAAATTTTTATTTGTTCTTCAACAGTTATATTTACTACTATTATTGAAATAAAATTGAAATTGAAATTTAATGATTATCAATTATTGTCTGTATTCTGTGTATAATAATTGTACTTACAAAACAAAAGTTAATGTTATTGTTGTCGAGAAAATTAGTTCTAAACATGAACAGGGGACCGAATTTTTGTATTTTTTTTTTTTAACCAGCTGGATTTATTTTACAACTCACGAGGAACCCGATAAATTATAATGAATACAGTTTTAAGTTCATAGGTACTTTGGTTAGGCATGATCTAATTATACTTTTTTTTTTTAGTGGGCAATAGACTCATTAAAACGCTGACCAGATTTTAAGCAATAATAACAATTTTATTATTTTCTAGTTTTCTCTAGCTTTGTGTTTACCTGTTTAAATTCTAGTCCAAAGTGTAATAACCATCAAATACTGAACTTCACTATTATTAAACGTAACTCGTCATAATTTGTACAATTCCCCAGATTTTGGTTGGGATAAATTTTAGTTAATGACCATTCATAACTATTTATATATATATATATTTTTTTTTTTATCCGGCTATTAAATATTTTGCTATTATTCATTACTAATTTACCGTAAGCCGAATCAATACCGTTCACCAATCGTCTCGTTTGCTCGACACTTTTCGTTTCCTGTGCGATCCGTTAACGGTGCTAACGCATAAAGCATAAATAGTGTTATACTCACCAGCATAGTATACTTAGTAGTATTATTGTTGATATCATTGGCGTGGAAATAACTTAATAGGCATCACACGGAACTCGAAAACTATACGTATCGACGGGCAACGTGTCAATGCTAATATATATATATATATATATATATAGCGAACGGCATTGCGAATAATATATGATATTATTATTGTTATTATTGTACAATATATAAGCCATTTCCTCTCCTCTAGCGCGATCGGTTCAAAGAACTCAGCTTACCGTTATCATAGTCGAATTCGAAATTCGGATGGGTTCTGTTCGATTGACCAATTTGCGGTTTTAACAATTAATATTAAATAATAAGACAGCTGCATTCCCCCAGATATGCGGTCAGTTTCTCAGAGAAAATGTTAACTTTCCCGCACAATAAACCACACTATATGATAATACATCTTTGGTACTTATGACATAACATAGATAATATGTATATTTAATCCTTTATGGATATCTTTAATAAAACTGTACTCGAAAAATAATACTCATGGACGACTATTGATGCATACATACATCATACATGTGCGGAATTATAGACTAGAGTGCATACAGGACTTGTTGAAATTTATTTAAAAATAATAAATTTAATAACTAATTACAATATTTGTTAGATACTTGATCGAGTAATTAATTTAGTTAATCGATCAACGAGGTTCATTAAAAATTAAATGGCAACTTATTTTGTTTTGTATTCAATTAACTATTTATTTAAATTTTATGAACTAATTATTTCATTATATAATATATTATATAAATCGAATTAGTCATAGGGACAGTTGATTCTATACATTCGATAAATAGTGTAATCGTAGTTGCTGTTGACTTCAATGGAGTTTTCTCCATGTTCGGCTACTTGGACTTCTGCGGTTTCTTCGCCAATCCAATAGTGTTTATAGTCTTGGACAATGGTGAATCTAAACAAAATTATAAAATAAATATTTTGACCAATGGCAATCGTAATGCTTGCTTATGTTGTTACATACTTGAATTTAAAAGTGCCTTTGAGTTCCTTTGGTGCTACCCACGAGAAGCTTTCACTTGTTTTATTTTTGTTATTGGACTGAACAACCGCGTTCTGTAACCAAACATTTTGCAATTGTTTTCAGTAATATTTTTACTATGCAGTATGCAGTATTACAGTAATTGCATTTCGTATATCACATCTTACGTTTTAAGGCGTAGAGTATAGGCAATTTGTTTGAAAAAAAAAATATTATTTAAAGCTATAATTATTATAATGTGTATTTATTTGTATAATATCGATGACAATTGATTCGTTTATTGGATCGTGTCATTTTTAATAGGACAATTTTGTAATCTTTAAACATGTCTTTTATAAATTCAAATATTTTTTTCCGGATTAAACATCAGTCCGGTAAAATTGTTGATTTTGTTTTTTTTTTATTGGAATGAAAAACACTATTATCGAATTAAATTTTTTCAGTCGTTGCGCCAAACAGGCAACTTATTTTTATTGGACAAATAATTGTTAATTTCTATCATTGTTTTACCTCTTTAGTAGTATTTTTTTTAGACCAGAACTAAACGGAGTTATTATTTATTTTGGTAACCAAGTGCCCCTACACGCACCAACACACCGTTTCGCTGGATAGCTCACTGGTAAATTTAACAAAGCATTAATGATTTATATTAATTATCAATAAAAAATATTGTATTGCAGTAAATTAGTAGTTTTTTTTTTGCTCATCATTGGAATAAAGGTGAAAAATTAATATTTTCAAATTTAGTATTATAGGCAAACGCGCCTATTTACGATTAACTGCGTGTATTTCAGAATGAACATAAGTCCAGAGTGTTCACTACAGTAATAAAACCACACGTTTGCATGACGGAAAATCGTGTATTTGAGTCAACCATTTAAAAATAAACGCGTATACTCACGTAGGGTTCGTTGCCGCTCACGCACGAGATCATGTGGTGCGTTCGGTTTTCGGACGCGCATTGGGGTAGAAACGTGCCCAGTATCTTGTTGTCCTCGTCCCTGCCTTGGATCATGAACCCCCTGAACGTGGTGGTGCCGTTTTGGGAGGTCAGCGTGACGTTGACAAGAGCGCCCGGCACGACCGGCACCGGCTGTACGTTGATCACGTAAGGGTTGGCCACGCCTTTGCTCTCTTCGGACGGGTAACCCGGGTGTCGTGGAGTCATGTCGTCGCATGCGATCATCAGTTGCTTGTCGGTCACCGATTCGGCAAACCGCACGCCCAAGGCGAACAACAGTAACACCGTTGCCTTCATGTCGGCTGTAAAAAAAAAAAAAGCCGCATCAGTTTTGGGGGGAAACGGTAGAGAGAACAGGTTGAGACGGTTCGGTCATGTCATCAGGCAGAGAGAGGTGTAAATGTGTGTAGAGGGAAAAAAAGTGGAAGACCGAAGGAAACATGGATAGACGGAATAGAGGATGGCTGGGGGTGATGGAACGAGCTCTGTGGAGGTATAGGACTATAGGTGGCCGGCGCCATGTAGTTGGGAGTGTAAGGCAAAGATAAAAAAGAAGACACCATAAATCTTTTAGCCGCGACGCTATTGGTTTTACCATGATGTAGGTATTTTTGTGTCTGTATACACTGTAACTTTTTACATACTAGCGGATTCCTTCGAGTAGCAACTGTATAAATCACAATTTTGTTAAAAACCATCACTTTTATTTGCATTTTAAGACTGCGAGTGCACACTAAAGTGGTTGCCTCTGGGCAACCAACAGATTTTTAAGAAATTATTACTACTACTAACAATGTCAGAAAATCTCAACGTATTAAACCTAACAAAAATCTTTACAGAATAATATGTAATATTACATGTAGTATTATTCATAACTGTGATTATATAACCGAATAGGTACGCCGAAAAAGTAGCTTCTTTGGTACGACTTGAACATTTTCCTTATCAGATTTATTATAAACTCTTGCATTAACGTCGGTATCGTTAATATTTGACAAAAGTCCAACTTCTATGTCGGTAAACCGGTTTTCCTGCTAAATATTATCATATTTTATATGATTGTTGGCGTCTAACAACTGCTTTCGATTGACCTTCAGAAGTAGTTTAGACGACAATTTTATAACTTTAATTTTTATTAATTTAAAAACCGTGATTTTCGTTTAAACACGGTTCGAAAAATAGTTGACAATAAACACTGAACGTACTTACTGCACCATCTCCCGAAAATCGTTTAATGTAATACTTGAATTTCAAATTGAAAATTGACGATCACACGTGTAGCATAATATAATAAATAATATAACTTTTTATCACTGTATTATGTAATCTAATCCATCTAGTTTAGGAGATAGGTCCGTTAATAATTGTCTAAGACTAAATTCAAAGCTGTACAAAATTACTTTCTTTTTAACTAGTTGAATTAGAGCTAATTAAAAATAATAATAAATATGATGACTTTGAAGTTTACATCTAAACGTTTATTCGAAAATTTCTCTCGTAAAAAAGAGTAATTTTTATTTAAAAATATATGTATACAGGGTGATTTTTTTATCACGAGTCAATATCTAACTAGGTTTAATTAATAATTGATTTTTTTTTCATAGTGTTTTTATATAATGTGGTCTCAATTTTCCACAAATGATTACGTTTCTACCCCCTCACAAACTACTTTTTTGATAGCAACTTTTGAAACTTTAAATGGTAACGTTTATATTTTTTAAACTTTTTAAGTTAAGAATATTTCACTAAAAATGTTGAATCAATAATTAATTAAGCCCAGTGAGATACTGACTGGCCCATGATAAAAAATCACCCTGTATTATACGTACAATATTACATTTTTTGATGTAAAGTAAAAATTGAAAATTATAATTATTATTACGGTAGAAAATTTTTTTAACACAAATAAAGTACGAGATTGGATTTTTAGACTTTGTTAAATTTTAATGCTTTATAATCTTTGACTGTAGTTGGTTTGTCAGTCACCAGTGAAATATAATCATTATTATTTTACGAAATTTGGATCAAGTTTTTCTAATTTTGTGTATTGTTTGGATTTTTTTTCTAAATTATATTTTAGGATTTTTTAAAACATTTCGGCGTTACAATTTTATAAATATTAGTTTTTCAATACAATTTATAAATAAAATATTATAACAATTTTCGTCGTATAGTTAGAAATACTTATTAAATGTTTTAAAATTGAAACATGGTAACATAAGAGCGTAATAATTAATAACAAATGAAGTCTAGTAACGGTTTCTAATTATAACAACTCCATTTAACTTAACCCGAATGTAGTTTATTGTGCTGATAAAATAAGTTTACTAATCATATTTATTTACTTGAATATCCGACAACTTTTTTTACATGTTTCTTAGCTTTGATAAGAAGGTTTTAGTTTTTACTTTTAAATAAAAAAACGATTACAAAACAAAATCTACTTACCACAAGTTTATTTTTGTTAAAATTATGTGCGTTACCCAACAGTTAACAGTGGTCGTTCGATACGGTTGCCATTAAAACTAAATGCATAGACCAAGACAATATGAAGTTGGCAGCGTTCGTTTTGAAGATGAGAGGTCGACCCAAGTCGTCCAACTGGTTATTGCTAATTTGAATTTTGCAGTGTGCATATCATAGCGCGCGTTAGATTTTTTTGTCGTTGAACAGACATTACTGAGTGATTCGTTTTATAGTAAGGTTTAGTGGATTTTAAGAGAGGGATGTGAATTTTTTACCTGTACATCTTTAATGCTGGTATTATAATCGCCTATACATTCTTAACGCCTACAAAGTTCACTGTTAATCTTTTAGACGGATTTTAGAGATAACCGTGATTGTATTGCAGGACTGCTCCACTATGACATAGTATAATAACATGATGCGTTAATGTGCTACTCGATGACTTGCGAAAGCTCTCTTGTCTTATTTGAATTTTTTAGTTGAGATTTACAATAATATCTTATTTTTTCTTACAAACTAACCGATGTACGTTTAACAATATGTATTATATAACTTCTTGGTGGAATTCAACCGCTCTCGACGGGCGGGTTAGATAAAATATGACACTGGTCGCACCAGTAAAATATTTCATGGTCAGTCCAGCCCAAGCCTAATTACTCGAATATTTTTTTTTAATTTACATTTTTTTACAACCGTAACGTTCAACACAAAAGTGAGAAAAAAAATATATTAAACATTATTTACTATTATTAATAAATTAATTTTCATTCATGACTTTTAGAACACCTTCGTCGCCGACATTGTTGGTTGTTTTCCGTTTGTGCCATTCAATGTAATATTTGATCTGTTTTTTATGTCTCGGTAATCGTTTCTCCTAATTTTTGGGTAATAGATTATTAAATCTACATCTTCAAAATTGAATACCCTTTTAAAGGCACGGTAATCCAGCTTTTAAATCATAAAAAAATTACTATTTTTCACTAATATTTTAAGAATTTTTAGCAATAACAAAAATCTAGACTGCCGAGTTATTATTTTCTAGCATGGAAGTAGATAAGTATATTTCTATATTATATTATATTTTTGTTGTAACAAGTAAAAGTTAAAAGCTTAACAAACGGAAAAGTTTTTATTTTTTGTTACTTAAACGTTGCTCGCAATTAAAAAAAAAAAAAAAATAATAAGTCAAATTACTTATATATTATTAAAACAATTTACATATTATACTACAGATAAATATTAATACATGTAATTCTTCAATGGAAAACTAGTACATTTGTTTGTGCTTTTAATCTAAAGATTAATCGTATCTTACTTTTTATGACTTTTGGCAAAAAATGAGCTTCTAATTTTTTATATTTTGAAATATAAAAAATTTGTTATAACTTTTCTATTTTGGTCCTAGAAGTGCTAATTTTTAAAATCATAATTTACACTATACACTTATTATATACTGCGAGTTTATATCTAATAACTTATTAAGTTATTTAAATTTTATTCAGTTATATTCAATTTTCAACTAATTTCTCATAGAAATAATTGGATCCTTTCATTTAAGTTAAATACATAGATTATATACAACACAATATATCAAATATGTCATATCGAAATTGAAATTATCATAATATATTGTAGCTCTTCAGTGACATTATCATCAATCAGATATAGTATAGCTAAAGGTCCATGTAACCTTATAGGTTATTTAGAACTACTATAAACTTTCCTTTCCACTTACAAACAAAATCTCAAGTAGCTACCTGTATTAATTACATGTTAACAAAAATATTCATAAGATGTTGCGGTTACCCGCCAAAGAAATTCAATACCGATTTCCGGTTTCATTATAGAAACTTGTACACAACAATATTGTCACTATAAAACACATGCAAATTTATACTATGTGCCTACTGTGACATACCAGCTCAAGTTTCGTCCCAATATCATTTCTAAGTCTGTAATCTACAAAATATATACTCCATGTGATTTTTGAGCGATAGAGATCATTAATAAATTAATCAAGTCTAACACTATAGTTTTGACTAAACATAGCTGTGTAATTTTTCTTTTAAATAAAATAAAACTATATATTTAATTAACTTGATATTTATAAATGTTTATTTAAATTAGATATTTATTTATAAAGTCCCAAAATTAGCCTAATGGGCAATCTAGTGTGTTCGCTGTAGTAAAATTTTGTTAAAACATAGTCTAATTATTTCCAAAGTTGTTTGGCGCTTTCCCCCCCACAGGAAGTTGGAAAATTTCTTTATTTCACTCTATCAAGCTCTTAATATTATGACTGAAAGTAGGTGTTGGATAATCTTATTTGGGATAATAGTTCCTCCAATCCTGTAAGTATTTTTTTTTTTTGTTTTTTTTTTTATGAAATTCCTAAAGATTATCATTGAATTTTGTAATATTGTCTAGTGAACTTTACAGGTTATGCCGGACGTTAATCGCGGTGGGGAAAGGTGACGCAACGTGTAAAGAATAACGTTTTATTGCAGACGGGATGCCGACCGGGCAAGTGTTGGACGTATTTGGCCTTATGCGCGCCGGAGAAAGTTTTTTTCTTCCTTCCGGTCTCCCGCACTCCCGCCGGTAGTCGTTTGCACTTACCCGCCTGGTGTTTACAATAATAAACTTATATACCAGGCGTGTAATGTTATTATGCAGTTGTATATCGGTTTCGATAATATCCACTCGACTTTCTTACTTAATTTCCGTCGCGGTCCGTCGTCAGTGCGAGGCAACCGGTTAACCTGTCGACATATGCAAAGCGGGAATCTCGCCGGTCTTGCCAAAAACTAAATACAATACTTATACTGACATTATAAAATATACATATATATATATATATATATATTCGACAACAACAACGGCAGCAATGGCCAAAGTCAACGCGATACTCATACCCGACGGTTCGTTTTCGTTCACAGACGGCATCGACGGCCATCAGAAAGACATGGACTTGTTCGCTTTCATGTTTTTCGCGTGTTGTCTAGAAGTTTTTCTGTTCAAATATTTTGCCATATCTTTTTAAACTACTATACCACACGGCATAATATATATATATATATATATATATATTACAATATAATACAATACACGGCACGCCTAGTCGTTAGGACGATGCGCTTGTGAGTTTGCTATATATATATATATAATTATGGTGTAATTTTTTTTTTTTTTTAAATACAATTTTTAAACTTTTTTTTAACTCACAAATTGTTTGTGTGTTCGCAGAATCAATTCGCATAACGTGGTCCAACGCGAAATCCTCAACAAGAAACTAAAGTTGAAAGTGGCGTCCACCGACGGAGGCGAAGACCGTAAGTACATAGGACAATATTATCCATACTCGCATAATATTAGGTGATGAGGTTTTTTTTTTTTTTTTTAATGTAAGTGTACATTAACTAAAGAGTAGGTTAGGTTAGTCTATGCTTTCCGGAGTATAATCTAAGGAAAAAACAAAGGTTAGGTTAGGCTAAGAAAAACTTCCTAAAAAAATGCCGAATAAATCAAAATTATTTCAACGACGACATTAAAAATTACATTTATTTACAATATACATTTTTAAATTTGCTCCAAAGTTTGGCTACATTTTTAGCCGTTTCATACTGTTGTATTTATTAACCCTTTTTTATGGTATGTTGTCTAGAAATATCACGTGGGATTTAATGAACCCGAACACACTAACGAATGGTTAAAGTTTTAGACAGTAGAATATTATACTAACAATAAGATCGTTATAAGACGCAGTAGTATAGATTTTTAAAACTAGTTTACTACTTCTTTTATTTCATTTTATTAATAATCACGAGACAAAGCCCATGCACAAGTTGCTTTACCAATACTTACAGTTTAAAATTAAGTGAATGTTCTTGCATTTAATAAATAGAAATACGAATAAATAATAAAAAATGGAATAATACTTGCTAAAAGAGGCGCCAGCATTCGCTGTGAGCATCAGACGGGCAATGGTAAAATTAAGGAGCTGCGACTTGGAACAATGAGGAAGTAATAAAGGAACTGAACATCGGGTAAAACGTCGAGGAACTTTTAAATTAATACTGGACAGAAGTTTAGGAGAATCAATAATGACATTCAAAAGGGGAAAATGAAGGCAAGCTTGATCATATGCTTAAGATTAACGGTCTCACCAGATTGCTTTATATGGATAATGAGTATTAATTATTTGGCTAGTGTAGGAAATAAGTGACGAGAAAATGACATTAATGAACTTTTAAGGAGGTTAGAGATAGGCCAAGGGAAAACCCTCAAATCGCAAGACGACATACGTCAGCTTGAAGCAGGCGACAGTCTGAGTGGCATTAAATGTGCATAAATAGTTTAATATCGCCAACGAACATAAGTAGCTTTTTTTCCCCTTCTAACATCGCACACCAGGAAGGGGATTAAAATGTAAAGTAAAAATATCAGTAGCTTGAGTTAAGGAGAACAAAAGGGGCAGAATTTATAAATAAGGTAGAAATATTTAATGTGCCAACGTTGAACAAATTTTATTAGCATAACAATTATCGAATTCGAATAAATCAAAAATAATTTTATAATAAATCAATTAAAAAAAAAACAATATAGATTTCTTTATTCATTAACGTATATGTATAGACCACAAAGAAGTTACAGAATTTTAAGTTTCAACATTGACGTGGCATAGTTTTTTTTTACATTTATTAGTATTTATTATTCTTAGTATTCCTTCTTACAATATCTGTAAGCTGAAATTCAAAAATCGCTTTTAAATATTCGGGTTATAAAAAATAAAATACTGTATAAATATTTCCATACATGCCTTAAATGTCCAGCTCGTATAGGTTATCCATATATTTTGTTTAAAAAATTGAAAGATAATAATAGCCTACGAAAAGCCTATTTGTAAATATCATGAATATAATTAAGTTGTTATTCTATTCAAACACTGAAACTTTCTCGAGACTGCCAAAAAAAGATTTAACGCTGTTAAGGCGGAACGTAACAGGAAATAATATTAAATGGTATTCCTTTTAAGTAAACACTTTCGATTTTAATGCGAGACATCCAGTTTACAACTTTGACGTTTCTTCATGTATTGACCATATACAAAGCGATTACATTAGACAATTTATAACACCTTATTTATTTTCAAAAATATGTTCTCATCTTTACAGCAAAAGCAATACACTCATCTTTATGATAATTAAAAAAAATTATAATATTTAAATAATTTTTTATGTTGGGAATAGCTCGTATCTTGGTGCATATGTTTAACAAAACATACTTTTAATTTAACAGATTTCACTAGAAATTGTAATAGATAATTTTTTTAAAATATTAATAACTTACAATATGGAAATCAACTATCAAATTTTTAAAAATATATTAACATACATTTTAGCATTTTTTATTAAAAAAAAAAATATGTCCTTGTACAGTATCCTAATATTTACCTACTGTAGTTTAGAGTTTAATCATTTTAATGTTGTACGCTTTTAAGTATGAATAGGGATAACAATTTTGATTTGTATTTGTCTCATCAATATTTTTAATGTTAACTTCTTTTGGTAGATTCACACGCAACGGTTATTACTATTATTTTTTAAATGTATAACTTACTATCATTATCTTCACTTTAGGTGAGCTTAGCACCCCTATTTTTTAAAATGGCCCCGAAAAAAATAATTGTGTTTCTTACCATAAGTAGTAACAAAGAGGATTTTCTAATATCTCCAGTGCTAAAACGCCCACACTTATTTTAGCGAAATTGCGCCTGTGCGTGTCTCCTTATTGGTTTGTGAGATTAAGGTGAAAACTGCAAATAACAATTTAAGAATTGATTAGGGTTCAAAATGTTGGACCTAAATAATAACCGGTTTGTATATAATATTGCTATTGGTTTTATACGTTTTTTCTATTTCTTTTGGGTTTCTCTACCAGCATTTATAACTGTACAGAATATTTCGTTAGGTACTCCAGAAGATCTGTCACGAATATCCGCCAGTAGTTTCCTTTTTGGTTATTGATGGAGAAAATAATATATCTGAGCTACATACATAGACTGCAGCTAATGTAGGCAGGTAATCAAATATCGAATGAATTATTTGGAACCTAAATATCGAAACAGTATTTCAATAATCAACATTAGAAAATAGAAAATGCAAATTTCATGTTGTCGTTTATTATATATGAAACTTATGATTTAAAAAAAAATAATGAAAAAAATAATATTGATCGTAATACAAGTGAGTGAGAAAGGCGAATATATTACAGACACATCTCAAAATGATAATGTGATTTTTTTATTATTTAAGAAGTTAAAAAAAGTAATATTCTTAATCTTAAATAGCTTTCCATATGTAAATAATTACATATATTAAATATTTTTTTTGTTTTACATAATTTAAACATTTAAAAATATATTCATATATTAAGTATTCAAAAAAATTAAATCTAATAAATTAAAGATTAAAAATAAAAACAATAATTATTTGTAAATTACAAAGAATTGTGTTCAACAAATAAAGAGTTTTGATTTAATTGAACAATTATTTGTTTAAAACATTTTTATTGAACAAATTATAAAGTTAATAATAAACACTATAATAAATAAAAAAAATCATAACAAAATATTCAAATATTATGAATACTATTATAATTAACAATAAATACACTTTTGATAAATAAAATATGATTAAATAAATGTAAATTTTTGGTTTTAAAAATTACGGTAAAATGTAAAAGGCATTGAAAAAATCATATATATTATAAAATGTTTTACTACCGTTTATGTAAAGTTTTATTGATTTAGATAAATGTTTTTTTGAATAATGGCCAACTGGACTTTTAGGTAACAGTGTATCATTTTAATTTATATTAAACTTGCTTACAGATGAAACGTTTGTCGAAGTCCGCGACTATCTGGAACAGCTAGTGGAAGGGCTAGTGGACGGAGGCCTGGACGATGTATGTCTTACGCCACTATCCACTCACCCGGAATGTAAGTATATAGATCTTCTCAAATATATTAAAAAACATAATTAAAAAAAAAAAAAAGTTTAAACGTTTAGTTGTAAATATTTATATGCAAATATTAATTCTAAAATCAAAACGTATGGTAATGTATTTAGTATTAGTAAAAGTCTTGATTGTGAGATATAGTTTTGTTAGAATCCAAAACAAGTAAATATTTAGTTGAGATTTAACAGGTATTTAAATTATTTATATATATATATATAGAAGTTGTTATTTAAAAACTTTTCTATAACATTTGCTATTTACTTTTTTTTTTTTAAAGTTAACGTTCTACAGTAAACTTAGGTATGAGAATTTCTATAAAACAATTTTTTTACTCGCTGCTTTGACATAATTGTGTATAATATATTAAAATATCTATAAATAAATTTTGAAAAAAATGTTTCTTATAGAAATTTTGTTTTAAAAGTTTATTTACAACCGATATGAAATAAAATTTTAAGAATAAATAAACGTTTTTAAGTGTTAATTATCATTCTGCTTTGATTGGTCAGATAATAAATAACAGTTTAGACCGAATTATCATGTGTTTTTTTTGTTTCCCTTACAGACATGTCGATATGTTGGAAGTATCACGAAAAGTTGGCCACCACGCTCACTGCGGCCATACAAGCAATCGTCAAAGGTAAACGGATCGTTAAGTAAATGATTCATTAAAACGATGTTAAGAAACCGTGAAAACGACATTTAAACGGTTACTAAATAGTGTACATCATATTGACGCTTCGATACGTTTGAAAAAACCTCCTTCTATATAAAATTCAGTTTTTTGTGTTACTACTTTTGACTAACACGATAATGTTTGTATAAATTCATTACAGAATCCGACGACTTCGAAAAAATACCCGAAAGACTTAGAGTCATTTTGGACGAGCTGTACAGCGACGTTGAACATCTTCCCGAGCTGCAGGTACATTTAATTTTCAAAAAAATTGTTTTAACAAAAAAAAAACCTCCTTGTTAGACCAGACACAATACTAAAAAAAAAAAAAAAACACATCATTGCAAACACCAAATTTCTTTTTAGCTGCGCAGAAACGCCGAATTAAAAAAAATAATTTATTATTATATACACTACTTATAAACAGCTTGAGTTCAAGTTATACTACCACATTGATAATTTATAAGAAAATTGTGTTCTGAAATTACATATCATTGTTAATTTTTTTTTGGAAGTGTAGTTTATGAGTGTAAAAATAGTTTGCAGAGTTGGCCAGTAAAAAAAAAAAAAATACTTCAGTGGATTTTGATTAGTTCAAGCGCAGAAAACGTTTGGTATATCTGTCCAAAAATTTATGGCTTTATAAAAACATAAAAATAACTTTTTCAAAGACTTTTCTGTTTTTTTCTCTAATTTTGTAAAAAACGACTAAGTTGTAATAACACCTTATGATCCCATTTTTACACGTAATATGTGCAATTGTGTCTAAACTCAAACCGGGTTTGACACGGTCATAATATGTATCCGATTTCAGTCTGCTCAGAAAAAATGCGTCGTTCCGCTGGCCGAAGATTTGGACGAGAAGAACTATGAAGATTTGCTGGCCACGGCCATACTGAACAAGGTACGGTCATATTGTGTAATATAATAATTTTTCATACAAACTACAAAGCGATCACGTACAAGTGTTAAACGCAGATAAGCTCATAAACGGAAACCTTTGACCTTTGTTTGTACGGCTTCTGTGGTCGATTCCTGTCCCATAATAATTTGGTCGGTGATTTTGTTTTCTACTATTCGTTTACATTTTTTACTCTGTTAAATATGTTTGTAAGTGTTGCGTTTCTCGTGACTATATATCGAATTGTCATTATTATTATTATTTGTAATTTTCTTTTAATATTATAATAATAAAAATATATGTTAATTATGTTTTACACTGTGTGTTACAGATCGTTTCCAACAGTCAGACCAAAAAACGCGTTTCCGACGGAAACCCCAGGTACGGAAAACTTCCGACGAGAAGTTCTGGTAAGTACGACAATAACAGCGAAGAACCCAAGAGACTACAACTCGTGTGGATTTATATAGTTGTACATAGAATCATAATGTTATTCGTGGTATTATTATATTTTAGGTTCCAGTTTGAACTCTTTGTGCTCGAAACGAACAGATGATTCCTGGGGCAGTAACGCTAGCCCCGAACGACTCTCTTTTACAGTAAGTCTGTTTTGTTTATTACCATTGTTTTTTTTTTTTAATTTTAAGATGCTTTGGTCTCGATTTTTATCGGTTTATCCAGAATTTTTTTGTATGGAGAGAGATAGGAGGTGCAGTAATATTGCCCCGGGGCCCAGACAGCAAAACAATTAATTAATTTTCAAAATATTGTCATTCAATTTTTTAATATATTAAAAAAATAAATAAAAAATAATTTTATTCAGAGGTTTCAACATTGTACGTAAAATGATCGCAAAATGTTTTGTAAATAGAAAAAAAAATTAAAAATAACATGTCCTTTAACTTATTGAAATAATGCTAAAATGCCTAAACATATGACTATACGGATATCATTTAATACATTTCCCCACCAAAGGCCTCTGTGTGTATTCTTAATAGTTTTGAAAATATAGAATATTATATTCAGCAGGTATTGCCAAAGTTGACTGTAAACCAATTTGTTAGCCAAATTCCGTTTTGAAATAAATAATAAGACATATAAAAAAAAAAAAAAACACACTACCAACATTCATGGTCGTCAGCCAAATTTGATCTTATCAACAATAATCTAATATCAGCCATCCATGGACTATACATTTTCCACCTACCGACTGATTATCAGAATAAGTTCTACAGGGAATATCCGATTTTCTTCGATCACTATCCCATCACCGCCCCTCCTCCTCCAGACCTCATCCCCGTCCCGGTCAATTTTCGCGTTTCTTGACGATTTTCCACGGGGTCTACCCCAAACCGCAAAAACACAATAATATCCGTGTAGATCAATAAGAAACCGTGTGCAATGTTACATTTCCGGATGTCGACTTAAGTGACAGCCAGTGTTGAAAAGCACTACAGGTACAGGGCTCCCGGGTGGGTGTACGGGGTGTGTTTTCTTCGAGCTAGTGCCGGCCTAAGACTAAACCCTTTTCGTGCAGGTCGAAGAACGCGTGGCACAAGTGACGACCACCAGCTATAACCACACATATTCGGACGTGGAGGGCGACTACGACGACGGATACAACGAGGGCGACGACGACGACGACGAGAGATCCCAGTCGACCCTCGGCATATTCATGTCGAACGCCAAGCTGTTGAGAGGACACAAAACTCCTCTGCCCGATTTCGGATCCGACGTGGTCGACGGTATGGATAATATTATTGCCTATATTAAAAAAAATCATTACACGCGAAACCTAACCCGATGCGTGTGCGAGTGGATATTCTAAATGCCTCAAACTTATGTGTACATCCTGTGCAGAGAGTAGTAGTTCCATAAAATCGATAAAGTGAAGAAAACCAAGCTAAATATATTTTTTGTTTTTTTGGATGCTATATTCCGTAAATTTGTTCCGTAAAAACATCTCAAGTTCGCCACTACGTTACTTAATTTCGATTACTCCGTTACCAGACTTTTACCAGATGTCCTACGTACGAATAAGTATGCGCTGTACGAATGTCAGGATTTTTCATTTCTAGTCCGAAAAACGTATAGACCCTTAAATATAGCACTTTCTGGTAAAATCTGGCCATTTGGCATGGAACGACCGACCCCGTGTTGGATTTTAAAACCGTCGCCTCTAATGGTTAACGACAACGGTATCGTCTGCAGACTGTAGCGGCATCGACGTGGACGATCGCGGCCTCGGCGCCAAAGTGGATTCGTGGGAAGACAATTGGCTGTTCCAAAAGAAAAAACACAACCGAAACGACACCGGTTCCAACAACGGCTACCACCATCATCCCGTGCCGGTGCCGATGTTGGTGCCCAACCCTTGCGACGACAGCAGGCCTTTGATCGGTGACCGGGACGCCGACGAAACGTCCGAATTGTCCGACTACTCCAACTCGGCTCTGGACGAACTCCTAGAACTCTGTAAGTGTCTTTATAAACCCAGAGTTGGCGATAAGAGATTAGAGATAAGAGTTAAGAGATTAGAGATAACATAAAATATTAGATACTAGAAAAGTACCAGGGTCCTATACTTGTATATTAACTATTAAGACATATCCACGTTTCTATGTATGTTCCGTGCAGCGGTGGGGTCATGCCCACTTTTTTTCAATTATCCTGTTTCATACTTTTATAGCTGTCAATTAACCCAAATTTAATAAATATTTTTTTTTTTAACAAAACCCTTCTCATCCCTTGTATGTGTCGAAACCCTATCTCAACTTTTGAAACTTAAATGGCAACTTATATATATTGAATTGACTTTTAAAAAAAAATACAACTTTTAAAGCTCCTAAAGTTAAAATTTACAATGGGAAGGGGAGTGCTGTTGATTAACGTGCGCAGATAAAAAATAATAATGCTACACTCCACACTTCCTCTCGTTGTACACTTTAAATCTTAATAACTTTACAAGTAATTATTAAAAACTGGTTGTCGACCGGTCGAAATTTCCAGCAAATTTTCTTAATTTAAAAAGTTAATAAAATATATACGTCACCGATATAAAAAGCTTAAGTTCATAGGAATTCAACACATGGGGTGTATTTTTAAAAACTGTGTCAAAATCAGGTGAATTATTAACTATACAAATAATACAAATTTATTTTTTTTGAGAAATTTTAATATGTTCTAAGATATTGACTGAGCCAGTCAACAAGCCACATTTTAAATAAAACTTTATACATATTTTGTATCTTAGTATTTATTAAACATTGTGTTTAGAATTAAATATCTTAGAATTTTTTTTAAACATTTTAAAAATCTTTTTGCTACGTTAATCAAAAACATAATATGTAAAATGTTTTAATAAGGAAAAAAACGACTAATAAGTGTAAAAAAAACGTTGAAAAATAACGTCAAATATATTTCCATTTATAGTATAAATGTCGTTTAGATATTATTAATGTTTTTATTAAAATATTTCATTTGAAATGCATTACAACTGTAACGTTGTGCATGCATTTTTTAAAACATTCCTTTGCTACTCGACATGATTTCTACTAATTAAAACCGACTTGTGATCATTCTAATCGTCTCAGCTTTGTTGTTTCAGCCGACAGCCAAGAATCAGAGCTAATCAAACCGTCCGAAATCGACGGCCGATCTATAGATCAGTTGACGTTCGAAGGCCCGAGTAGCGAGGAAGACAATCCGTTGAACTGGGATCCTGTGGTGGAGGCTTGCAACAAGCACGTGGCTTTGTCTCAGGCCGACTCGGGTAAGATAAACGTCTTGTTGTTATACTTACCCTTTTTGGCAGAAACCGAGAACAACTGATTCTTTGATTAGGCCAAGTTAAATTCAAACAATAATATAATGTTAGAGTGCCAAACATGTATATTTTATTACCTATTGTTGGTTTAGTGTTTAATTTGAAATGACCGAAAAAAGTGTGTGTATTATACAGGTCAAGGATCGTTGGAACTACACAGGGACTACGACCAGACAGTGGAAATTGTCGAAGTCATCGAAAAGCCGGTGCCTAGGCCAAGGTAAAGACAGAGCACTATGATCCATGAGGATCTACACGGTGGTGGTTGTCAATCTATGACCAAGTCGTGTCCAGTTCAACTAGAATCGCTATTTTTAGAAACGTCAATAATTCACTTAACCTTTACCCTAAGCACACGAATGAGAGTGATGAAAAAATATTGTCTTGTCCGACAAACTCGGTTAAGCCCTCTTTTTTTAATTTTATGCGGAGTCTATTTTGTATGCTGAAAACGACGAGGAAATCGGATTTTGTCGATAGGAGTTGAGCAAATTCGAAAAAAGATGATAAATAAAAGATAGTTTGATGAATAAAATTATTTATAACTCAATATACATATAAGACAATAGGTTTATTTATTATTTGTAAATAAAACATTACCAGTTAGTTTCAACATAATAAATAAAAACATATTCTATATAATATGCTTCATATTATGTATGAATTCAAAACTACTTTAATTAAAGCGTATTATTTTATCGTTAAGGGGTTTTAAATATTCTTTATTATATATAACCATAAGTTTCTCAAGTTATTTTTAGATTAAATTATTTGTTGTATACTTGTATACTTTTTTACAAATTAATAATTTAGAAATTGTATCTACTATTATTATTATTTAGATATCAAACATTCTAATAAATAACACATACTCGTTAATAAACAGTGTTGACGAATAATGAATAGCAAATAATTTCAAACAAATAATCTAAAATTGAATGTACAAATAAAAGATAATTATTCTTGTGTAGATAAAAAGTTGTATGAACAGTTCCCAACTCTGCTTCTTTTTATAATTATTGTAATCAATTATATTAATCTAGTTATAATTTATAAAAGCTAAAATTTCATTTAATTAACTATTTTACTAACTAATTCATTCTAATACTTGAGGCCAAAACTAACAATTTGTTTGTAGGAAATTAAAATTTCACAAAAACACATTAGTCGAGCGACCGGGTTAGGACGATTTGGCGTAGATCGACTACCTCGCGTTTAAATTGTTATATATTTTTTTAAAATTATTTTTTACTATTATTACCAATATTTTTCATTGACCGATTCGAATTTTGCATAGGTCGAGTTTGAACGCGAACATCGAAAACCAGCCAACAAGACAAGACGAAAGCAGTTGCGACGAATCACTGCCACCCAGACCGGGTAAGTTGCGTTTTTGGATAATTTTGGGTTCAGTATAGTATTATTATAATACTTCCCATCGCACCTTTTGTCCATGTATAGTATGTAAATACTATTTTGCTGAAATGAATAATAATGTAATGTTACAGGCACAATAGCGGCACGAGAACATTCGAAATGGGAGAACGCAGTGCCTATGGCCAACAATCCGTATTCTGCAGAAAATATCGAAAAAAGGAAGTACAAGTCCAAGTTTTCGAGTAGGAGTGGCAGCGACTCTTCGCTGTAAGTATTGCGCATAGGTTTTTGTCGGACTAGCTCGAAAAGGAGATTTAGGTTTATCGACCCTTTGGACAAAAAAAAAAAAAAAAAATAGGAGACCCTGTAAAAAAAAAATTAAGAAAAACAAGTTTTTGTATATACTATATATATTGCGGTTTACTGATCAGTATGTTTTTGCATATTAATACTTAAACTAGAGGACAGTTAAGAAAATCAGTAGAAAAAGAAAGAAAGGTTAAAGTTTTACACAAACGAGATTTAAGATAATAATATTATTATATTTGAGTATAAAAAAAGAACACTTCGGTGCGCAAATGTAGATTTTAAAAAAGTGTATGAAGGTAAAAAACTTAACTTATACCTATTATAATATGTTTTGAATGATTTACAAACAGACCTGGTCAAAATTTCACTTATTAACAAATAATTAAATGCGCAATTCTAAAAACAATGTAATATATTTTCAGTTTTATATCATCAGAGCTATACTTTTTATTAAAACGATTTTTTTTTAAATACACCAAAAATGTATCTTAAATGCGAAAATCTAAGTAAAAAAATGTTTGGTATTGGACGTACAATAATACAAAATGTGTTAGAAATATATTTTATGAAGTATTGTCCGTTTTTTATTTTAATATATCTAACATTAGACTATTAGATAATTAAAAAAAAATGTACTAACGTTATTTAAGCCTTGGCTCGTCCGACACAGTTGTCGTTGTCTTAATATATTTGTTTATTTTACACGTTTTGTTTTCTTAAAGGGACTTGACCAACGTGAACGATCCGTCTAAACCGATGAAGATCGTTTGCAGCCCCAAGTTACCGGATAGCCAGAAGTATGTGAAAACAATTATTAATAATAATTATTGCGAATAAAAAATGCAGTTGAATAAGAATTTAAATAATAAATATTATTCTATTTTATCCGAACAAATGTCCGAAAATAATTTCAAATAAATGTCTAACAGTCAAATATCGTTTTAGATACGGTCGGGACTTCTACATAAACAACAGTGCGGACGGTGCTGGTTCCAAGGGAAAACAGGTTAGTGGTCACGACCTGGGTGCTTTGGAAAAAAACATAGTATACGGCACATTGCCCAGGGCCGCATTTAGGTCACACAAAGCCACTCACAACTTTGCCAAGAACCCTCTTTATTGGGAAGACTAGACTTAATATTTATAGTATAATTTAAAATCAAAATTAAAAAAATCAAAAAAAAAAGCTATCCAAGCTACTGTTTGCTGTTCATATATTATTATCATTATTATTGTGTTTGATCGGGTAGTTTATTTTAAAAGTCAGAATTTTATTTTATAGTTTTTTTTATTTTGAAAATTAAGTATGTTTTAATCGCTTCAGAGTTACCGCCTATATTGTTTTGTCGCCTTTAATAAAATTTACCATTTTTTTTTTTTAGATGAGTTTATTTTGTTTGCTTGATTTGTTTTAGTGTATAATTGTTTTTAAAAATAAGGCGTTTACAGACAGATTTGATTGAGATCAAAATGTTTTTACATTTTGTAGGGTTGGACATGAGTTAAAAGTTATGTATAATTTTGATAAATGTTCAATGACCATGTGCAATTTTTAATAAAAAAAAATTATTATTAATTTTCTAATAACAAAAATAATTTTAAATAATTTTCTTTATTTACTGTTTTTTTGTATTAAGTTGTTACTTAAATAATTTGTTTTTTAAAGTCACATAAAAACACTTTTATTTTAACAATTAAGAATCTTAATAAATACATATCAAAGGGAGTATACGTACATTTAGAATAAAAACATATATGCATACCAATCATGAGTGGGTTTTATTTCTAGTGAAGTGGAATATTTAAAAACTATTATATTGTCATTATAATATTCATAATTGTTTTATATGACTGATTACAACCAAAATAAAACTAAAAAATCATGTCTATTGTATTTTTAAAGACGTCAAATAAACACCTGTTTATTATTTGGTGTTTTATATAAAGTGCATAGTACTAAACGGGTACAAATGGCAATATTTCCAAATTTGAGTTTTTGATCACACACTATTTTTAAATTTAAATTTTTTCCATCGTTACTACTTTTACAATTCTAAAAAGATTGAAAACTAAAAGAATTATTATTTTCTTCTAAAAAACACATTAGAAAATAATTTGCACTCGAAAAAATCTTTAATTGAAATCAATATTTAATTTATTCAAATACAAATAAAATTTTATATTTTGATCAACTTATTAAATTCAAATAGCAACTTGCAAACATTTTATCAATAGTTATTAAATTAAAAATTACTTTAATTTAGCACAATCAATTTGGAGTTATTGGTATGTAAAAAAAAAATAGGATGGATGGTCGTGAAGTATTACAGATAATAGTTATACTCAAAAAGTAATGGTTTAATAGGTATTGGAGGCTAGTTTTTTTAGCGGATGATTATGATTTAGGGTATATGAGGTTAGGTTGGGTTTACTTTACTTGAGTAATATTAGGATTATCAAACCATGTTGATTGGAGTTGTAATGAAGAAACTCGGTGCCACCCAGCAGACAATAGCTATGTAAAAAAGTAATAAATGGTTAGGTTAAGTTGGGTCTGTACACAATACCTGAACGTTAAGTTAGGTTGGGTTGAATTAGATCTGTAGATATTATGCATGTGTATTCGTTAAATTCCAAAAATATACTTTTAAAAAAAAAATATGTAACCCGATTTTACGGTTGTGGCTATACAGGGTGTTCCATCTAATGTAAGACATTTATATTCTCAAAATCTGTGAATATTTTGAAAATCAGTTTTTTCCTTTAATTGTAGATACATATTTTACAAAAATTTTCCATACATTGAACATTATTATCTTCATCCATTATGTGTAAATAAAGTATATACGTCGTTCTTTTCAAATGGGATCATTTTGTGTTTTCAATTCCATGAATATTTGGACAAATAAAAAAAAAAAAAGGCCATGACTTCCGCTGCACGGAAGTACATAGGAACACGGATATGTCTTAATATACGAGTATAGGATCCGGGTACTTTTCTAACATCAAATCTTTTATCTCTTATCTTGAATCTCCAATCTCTTATCTATAGTCTCTTATCTCTAAACCTCTTAAATCTGATTTCTTATCTCTTAATCTCTAATCTCTAATCTCTTATCTCTTAACATTTGCCCTATGCGTTGTGTGTGCCCGCAGACGAAGGTGTCCAAGCTGGTGGGACAGATGGAAGACAACGGTGGACAGACTTTGGACTTTGAACGGAAGCAAACTATGGACAACGTGGTCAGGGTGTGCTCTTGGTCGGACAGACAAGACGGTAGTCCGCTGCCGAGTCCCACGGCAGGCAGAGACTCGAGCGGCGACGACGAATTCCACATGCCTTCGGTCAAAGAGTTGGCCAAACAGTTTTCGTCACACGTGAGTCGACACGAATATAATAAATTACATTGCTAAAGACTAGTGATAGGAATTGAATTCGACGTCGGCCATTTTTGTGAGATTTATTTGTGTATAAAATAATGTGATAATATGTGATTCTGTGTTATCAACTTAACTTGTGATAACAGTTGCACAATTTTATAACTACAACATTTTAATTCAATAATATCGTTTATTAACCAACCGGAGAACGCTGGAAATCGGTATGATTATTTTACACAGTAAAATAAATTGGCATATTGTTGTGTTAAAGTAGTTAGCAAATCAACTTGTTTCACGATAGTAGTTAAAGCTTCTAAATATATAATAATAGTTATAATTAATAAGAATTTAAAAAAAACACACATTATTTATTCGGTACCACAAATTCTTATTGTTATTTTTTTCAAGTAGGTACCAGGATGTTTAAAAAAAAAAAAACCGGAAAATATAAACTCAACCCTTAAAATGTTAGTCCAAGCTACGAACCTGTGTTGAGCTATAAATATGCAACATATATTATTTATAAAAAAAAAAGTAGTGCCTGAATTTTTCAATATAATATATTAATATTTTAACATAGTATTATGAGTAATATATTTTTTTGCAATTACGTTTAAATTACTGAAAAATCATATTACATAAAGAACAAGATAGTCAAAATGTATGTTTCACGTTAGTTTGAAAAATATAAAGTTTTTCTTATAAAACCATATTCGTTTAAAAGAGAAATTTTGAAGACAAAATATGTTAAACAAAATATGTATCTATGTGATTCTGTGTTATCGACTTAACTTGTGATAACAGTTATAAACATGCGATGAGGTTCTAAATCCCACAAAGATGGCGGATAATGGCAACTTAATTTATCTCTATTGATGGCATGTACACTTAGAAATCTAGTATATTATATATATATTAATATATTTCTGTGTAACACAATAGTCTTTATTCAGCAACGAAGACGTAATCGAGAAGGCGAGCGACAGTTTGACCACTTTAAATAAAAATAAACACCTACTATTTTGTTAAACACTACACAGTAATTAATGCACTACACTGCACTTAACAACTATACAGATCAATAGAAAATTTCGAATTTAATATATTAGTATCATAATGTGATTAATATTATAAATGTATAACTGTTAAGCAATATGTTTTGGTATTACATGGTTGCAAATTAAAAATATGTACCTGAGAAATGTAATTTTGTTATTCTGGACACACTGCAGCTCGTCTTTTCGCTTACTTCAGAATATTTTACTTATTTCTTCACATATGTGTCTGATGGAGTTATTGTTGAAAAATATATCTATATATAAAACTATAAATTAAAAAATTACTAATTAAAAAAAAGTCATAGTTAACCAATCACGCTGTATAGTTTCTCATACCTAATTGGTGTGTTTGATTTTTGTCATTTGCAGATCGTGCAAAGCAAAGCCACTTCGTTCAAACAAGTGAGTAAACCAAACAATCTAAAATAAATAATAATTGACAAAAAAATGATCCACCTGGATTAGATAAAAAAGTATTCCAAATTTATATTACTTCTCGAGTTGTTCATTTATAAATAAAAAAAAACAAAATTTAAAATAACAACATTTTAATTCAATAATATCGTTTATTAACCAACCGGAGAACGCTGGAAATCGGTATGATTATTTTACATAGTAAAAAAATTGGCATATTGTTGTGTAATGTTGTGTTAAAGTAGTTAGCAAATCTACTAGTGTCACGGTAGTAGTTAAAGCTTTTAAATATTTCTAATTCCTAAAAATGCTCATCGCAATTAATAAACATGTGGATACCCAAATATTAAGAATATTGTATTCACACAGTCGCCATAACTACTACATAGAAATGTAAAAGTGAATAAAAAAAAAAAGAAAATTAAAATTTGAACAAATAGTAACCTAACTTTATATTGATTTCATAGTTATAATTAATACAAATTAAAAAAAAAACACACATTTTTTATTCAGAACCACAAATTCGTATTGTTGTTTTTTTTTAAGTAGGTACCAGGATGTTAAAAAAAAAAAAAATAACCGGAAAATATAAACTCAACCCTTAAAATGTTAGTCCCAGCTACGAACCTGTGTTGATCTATAAATATGCAACATATATTACTTATAAAAAAATGTAGAGCCTGACTTTTTAAAAATTAAGATATTAATATTTTAATACAATATTATGAGGAATATATTTGTTTGCAATTTTGTTTAACTCAATGAAAAATCAAGTTACATAAAGAACAACATAGTCAAAATATTTGTTTCACGCTAGTTTAAAATATATAAAGTTTTTCTTATAAAACCATATTCGTTTAAAAGAGAAATGTTGAAAACAAAATATGTTAAACAAAATTAATTATAATTTGGATAATTATTTACAGTAATTTCTTCTCCGGAAGTTTACCCTTGATGCCATGATTTATCATGTACAAAAAAGTCTTTTTTAATTTCCATATAATTAGTTAAAATTAAACATATTAATTGTGAAACATGCACGAACAAATTACTTTTACTAAACAGTGCACTGAGCATTATCTAACAGATATTATTTTAAATATTTTAAAAATATTCTGTTGATGTTTCGGTATTTTAGGTATTTTACTTACCTCATAGTTTATTTACTGTCCACACCACAAAGCTACCTGTTGAACATTATCTGTAATTTTTAAACGGTTTTTTTTTTTTTTTTTTTACTGACATCAGTAATACACTTAATAGTTAGTTGCCAAATTGTTTGTTGTTATTTTACTATTTAGTAATTATATTATTCTGTACTCTTCGATGACACTAGTTTACTCGTATCTTGTAGAACTGTGTCCACGGTTAAAATATATTGTAGGTATTGAACATGGACCGGTTATTATTTTTCATCTTGGGTTTTGTTAGGCGTGTAAAACAGTTGGTCCGAGTGATTTTGATTGATTATCAATGTAGGTGCACAGTTTGACGGCCAGAAGCATCCGCAAGGAGTTCAGAGAAGGATTGGGACTGAAAGTACGTCAGAAAAATGGTCAAAACTTAAAAAACGATTCGGACGACAGCGGAAACGGTTCGGCCATTTTGGCCGACGACGTCAACACACTGGAATAGGCCACAACGACGATAATGATTATTGCTATTTAAATTATTGCATAAGTACTTTGTTTGTAATGCGTTGAACGATTAGTGTTTTTTTTTTCTTCTAATAATTTTTGTTGTTATTATTATTATTATTATACGCTTACAATATTATGTTTATTGTGAATATTATTGCAGTTAAAGGAAACAATAAAAATTATATTATATCATATTTCCAATATCGTTTGTCCGTCGATTGTGTATACTAAATTTAATATTATCTAATCGATTATGGTTTGTTTTTGTTTTGTTTTGAATTCATTTCACATCATAATATTATATAGAACTCATACTACGGTTATAATAATAATTATTTTCAACGGTTACCATAAATTCCGTTAACACTTACGGTTAAAAGCCGCGTTCGTGTATTCTGTTAACTTTAGTAAACCAATCTATATATTATACATTCAGTACGACCAAATAAAAATGCATTGGAAATCGATAGTTTTCAGCTTTGGTCAAAAGGCCAAGTTGGGCAACACAGCTGGTATGAAGCATAGTCAAATTTTGGTAATCAGAGGTTTGAAGAAATTGTTGAAAGTGTTAAAACCACTCTGAATCTATAATGATGATAACTAATAAGTATTTATCAATAAAAGACTTTTAATAAATCTACATATATATGACTGTACATTGCATAATATAACATAATGTACTCTGTTATTTTAAGTTATTCTCCGAATTTCATATTATTTATTGTGTTTTTACATTTGAACCTAGTATAAATATTTTACATGTTTGATCATCGCTGCCTGATTTAAATGCATTTATATATTTAGTAAATCAAATAGGCTGTTACTCGAATTTTAACATAAACAATGCGACAAGCCTCGATTGAGCATCTTATAAAATTTGTTAAGTTTTATGTTTACAGTATAAAAATCAAAGCACGCGTTGATCACGTTGGAGTTCTGATGGAATTAAACGTGGAGTTTTGTTGACAAACAAAATGCCTCGGTGTGGAACCATCATTGTAGTCGAGGCCTGTTTTCTGTAATAAAAAATAAATAGTACTAATATTTCAATATTTTGAGAGGAAATGAATAATGATGCATAGAAAAAAAAATTGAAGGGATCAGTGGATAAAGGTGTTAACTGAAATTTTTCCGAAAATGAATTTTATCGCATTAATAAAATTGTGTTATAGTGTAAAAAAAAACGTTATAGAGCATTACTAGACGGATATTTTTCGATAACCGAAAACTAGAAGGAAAATATAAAGTACAGGTGTTCCTTGGCTTTAGTGGTTCGTCCCGAAGGGATCCACTACGACCGCGGACCGACTAGTAGCACTGGGTGCTAGGGAAGGTTTGTCTCAAGAAGGAGTGACCTGTTAGAAGGCCATTTATCGGAGGGCTCTACGTCACTTTAGTCGCCTTTTACGACAGGTGTGAGGCCCTCGGTAGAATTCTTTCTCCCCTGACCACAGGGATAACCGCGGCCAGCAAGTCCGCACATTTCACATAATCACCTTGAATGCGGCACACAATGCCCTGTAGTGTGTTTAGATGAACCGTCGCGGGATACCGGAATTTAAAGTAGGCCGAAATTAATGTGATAGGCCATCTTTCCGCTTGTATCGTGACCGCGGCAAAATTTTCTGCGGAGAGATCTTCTCTGGCCAAGGTTACCAGATTTTTATTTAATGCCGCAATGCCCGCACCGTGTTTGAAACTAGTACCCTCTTGGTAACTCTTATCCAGTATAATTCTGTATGGGTCCGCTTCCCAGGAGCATGTGCGTTCCCTGGCATTATGCTTGCCCCCACAGCTTGCGCATTTAGGTGATTTATCCAACTGAGTACAGTCACCTCGGATGTGGTCAGATCCACCACAGTGAATAACATTTCTTATTAGATTTGCATTTGGCTGCTACATGATTAAATCCAAGACAAGAGTGGCACTGCGTAGCCTCTTCAAACTCGGTGACCCTACATATATAGAGGCCCAAGTAAAGACCTTTTCTCGACACAAAAGTATCAAAGTGATCTGGAATCCAGCTGCACGTCGAGGCTTCACGGGGTCCTCGTTTAAAAACAGGCTTAATAAGGGCATTTGTATCTTCCGTAGGGAGGCCCAGTTCCGGATTTTGCTCTGCAATGCTCACCGGGATCGTATCAGGCGAAAAGCTCGAATCAACGTCCCATATCCTAATTCTCGGCCACCTTACTGCTTCTTCTTTGAGCGAAAAGCAATTATTCTTAGCAATGTCGCGTAGTAGATCACCAGTACCGGAATCGTCGGCTTTAACAATAAGTTTGCGCAGCTTGGTCTCAATAAGATTCAGTTTTGCATACCGCGATTTTTTAATCACCTCCGTCCAGAGCATGTCCTTTACTGTGCCTTTGCGGGATGGGTCGCTTACACGGATAGTACACGTGGGCGGAGGGCAGACTTCTCCCTATCGATTGCCAACTTTTCGTTGCGAGCAGAGGCCCTAGATTTCGATCTATTAGATTTTCGAGAGGCACTGCGATTTCTGTTTTTTGATTTAATTTTCCTGCTTCTTCTTCCCTCGGGGCCTTTATCGCCGTGTACCGTATCCATCGGCTGATCGGTGACTGGAGGGACAGTTTGAGTAGACTCTAGGTGGGCCACTATTAGTTTTAGCGCCTCAATTTCTATCTGTTTAACGCAAATAGCCTTTGAAAACTCGTTCACAAGTTGCCCAAAATTTATTTCTGGGCCGACTGTGGATGTGACGGCCCTTTTTTTGGACGAACCTCTGTGATGTATCCCGAAGATTTTGTTATGTAGCTCGTTAGTTTTGGCTTCCAAGGCATTGTAAGAGTAATCTGTGAGATCGTACCAGCCTATAATGTTCAAAATCTGGCTCAATGTCTCATCACCTTCGGCACCTCTTTTAGTGGCAGATGTCCTGGGACTTATAAGCCCCTTGGAGGTACTAGAACCGGTAGTATCTATTTTCTCTTCAGCAGGCATGAGGGTAAGCACTTACACTACTGGCTTGTAACTAGTTGCCACTACCCAAATTTATTCACTGTACGTCACAACTACATTAAACTTAACTGCCGACTACGAGCGTAAATTCTATGGTATACTTACCAAATTTGGTAATCGGACCTTTTATGGCTGCCCTAAGGCGTGTGCTAAGTATGTGACCTCTAGCCCCAAATTTGGGGGGCCCTTGGAAGGGACGGTAGGTCCCTGGAGTTACGACGTACCTATTGAGGTACTTAAACCAAAATGTTGAACGTTTGAACCAGTACTCTGCGACCGTTTGCCGCGGGGTATAACCACGATTCAAAATTTCCAAAAAATGAGGGGGGGGGAGGGGAAGTCACTTTTAATATGATATCCGCCCTAATACCCCGAAGTGGACGCCGGCGATCCGAGGTCGATTCGACGCGTATTGAATGTGCTACGGCACTTTAAATTTTTTGGGGGGGGGGGGGGTACTGACCGAATACGGCTAGTCCAAAAAACTGGGTTCCCCTACACCCGGTAGTGGCGCGGAACGGTCTTGCGGCACCCGATATAATTTTATAAAATAATAATATGGCAACTGAAATGCCGTTTGCCGTTTGTAACAGTGCAATAAACAGTGTAGTATAAAGTACAATAAGACAGAAAAATATGTTGTGCCATTGTGTATGGCTAGCAAATACTGCCATCTTGGCATACGAATGTACGTCGTGTGCGCATTCGAATAGCAAGCACATAAGGTTTATCAGGTTTGTATCAGTCAAGCAATTTTTTTTTCACACGTAATATATTATTATAGGATTTAAAAAAACTTGACGATTGTACTCATTTTCTGTATTTTAGTGCTATATTGTACGCGTATCAAGTTGAATTTGAATTATTTCAAAAACTATTATGCATTTTAAAAGTGCTGTTATTCTCTGCGCGGTGATTTTCTTCTCATCAGCACGGGTAAGATACTCATTTTTTAAAATTAACACAGTTGTAAACTTATTCAAGGCGACTCGTATGATATGGCCACACTAGCATCCGATGAAGGGTGAAGTGGAGTGTTAGTTTTAGCCTTACTTCACTTCGCATTCATAAATTTTAAATCGAAATTTTCAGCAAAATATTCTTATTTTAATATGGTAATTTCTTATAGGTATACGTTCCCGTTTAAGTTACTCAAATCGATCCGCGTTGAAAAATACTAAAAAAGCTAAACATTTGATCATTTTAAATATAATATTGTGGATCACCCGGTACTAAGTGTGTTAAGTTATGAGTCATTATACTTTATTTCAGAGCACTGGACTAAACAGGGGTCAAATAGTACGATGTATGAAACTGTACGCAAAACAAATTACTCAGACCGCTATTTTCGCGGCGAATATCACAAATATTATGAAAAACCAATTTGGAATCGAATATCCTAAACATGTTTTTGAATACAAGCCAAGTAATGTTTTATTTAAATAGCTCATTAGGTACATACATAGGCAATTATTAACGTTGCGTTATTGCGTTACTAGGCTATTGCTCGGTCAATTATATACATCTATTAACTCAATAGATAATATTTACTTTTTCTTTGACATAGCTTATGTCTTTTGGCTGGGGGTCAATTAGAAAATATGTGCGTACGTGCATCACGCTGAACGTTACCGTAGAAAATATGTGCGTGTGGTGCGATCTGTTGGTTGATAAAGAATTATCTGATAGGATATGAGAGATAAGAGATTAGAGGTTAGGTGCTATTATATTGGTACACCTAATTAATTACACCTAATTAGGTACTCCAAATTAGTTGCTCTTAATTAGGTACTCTTGCGGCTGTAAGTGATTATATATTAAATAAAAGAAGTTAGGTTTTCCCAATTAGGTACACCTAATTTCGATTCCATGTGTTTCTTGATTATTGATTGCTAAATTTTATTTAAATTATGATGTTTTTACAACGAGCACAATAAAATAAATGGTTAAATTTATCAAAATAGCTGACCAGATAAATGTAACCAACAAAACCGATTTAGGCCAAATGTTAAAGAACTACTAAAAAAACATTTGGCCACAATATAAAACTAAGACAATACTATACTATATTATCATATTTTAATGTTTGCTATCGTTTCAAAAGATGGTTTCAAGAAAACGGAATAAACTCAGTTCTTCTAATTTATAATTTTTAGTTTTAACAACACACTAAACCGATAAAGTTCTTATAACTAAAATTATAATAAATTGTAGAGTACTTTTTTTTTAATAATTGTTTAAACTAAAAATTTTGGTTGAAAAATAATGATGAAATAAATTGTAGAATATAGGATTATTTAATTAAGTTGGATTAAAAAATAAGCATGTAAAGTACTTGGCTCGATTAAATAAGTAACTACTCAATCGGTCTAAATAATTACAAACAATTTGTTAAACATACATTATTTAACTGAACGTAATATATAAATGTAAAAACTTGCCAAGCTTTGTAAAAAACTATTACAGTTGTTATTAAAAACCTAATTGCACACTATTTAATTTATACAGATGAGCCTGTTTATGTAAATTTAAAGAATTTATTCTTGGCGTTAGCGTATGAAGACAAGAAAATATCCGACAGTTTCGAGGTATTTGATCTAAAATACCTGACTAGGTTGACCTAAAACTTAACGACTAATTTGCAAAATATTCGTGTGTGTACTTACTATGCTTACTATGTGGATACTTATTATATATTGTACTTAGGTTGTAATGCTGACGCCTTTTGAAGTACACTATTTCCTCAACGTGTTTATTTCACACCCAAAACATAATAACCAAGAAGGATACCTCACTGGTCACCAGCTATTTTATGTATTTGAACAATTACAGCTTACAGAAGAAGATAAGACAAATGCGGTACATAAAATGAACGAGTTAAGAGGTAAAAATTAGTGGTTATCAATTTTAGTGGAGAAAGCGTTTTGTATCCGTGTAGACGATTATCATTTTTATTTCATTGTAGTCAGTTATCGAATTAAAGTGGATGAGTTGTCCGCGATCCTATTGCAAATTCAACCAGAAGTGAGCAAGTACACTGTTTTTAAAACATATATTTTACACTCGGTCATTTTTGACTATTTTGAGTATTTCATTAATAATATTTTTAGATAATTGCCAGGATGCCAATAAAAATATTTTTTTTTATACATAATATTATACTATACTTGTATGGGTTATAAAATAAATGTGTATATTGTATGTAAAATATGGTTCATAGATTAAAATGCGCAAGCATCTTAAGGAAAAGACTTTCATCAATGACATCATTAGTCGATTGGACAATTATAAACAAGATGGATATCTGACTTATCAACAGCTTACAAGTGTGTTTGAACTATTAGATCTAGAAATAATACAGAAGATACAGATCGAAAAATTAAGTAAGCAGTATTAATCAATTTATGCCAAGGAAGCGGATCACTCCAAGTTGACAAACTTCGTTTATTTAATTTTAGGTGGCTACATATTTAACCAAGCGGATTTTTTGTTCATAATGATAGAAATTCTACCGAATGTAAGCAAACAATTATTTGTAATTTTTTTAAAATTGGCCATATACCTAAAATTGTCTGGATAATAAAAGAGTGAAAGCGAAAATGTTGTTTCAAAAGCAAAAGTTAAAAAATCATTACAAAATATAGTAGTTAATGCATCGACATTTTTGTACAACTATCTTATGTTATTTGTCTTTTTTTGCTTACCCACATTATATAGGGCAGCGGTCTAACCCTAAAACAAGTACAAGAGTTTGATAAACTATATAGACAACGTTTAATCAATCCTCGGGAAATTAAAAAAATCTTCATTGGGCTTAACATGGCCAACGAGTCGCATCAGGAGTTAATGCAATTCAGATACAACCGTAAGAATAAAACATAAATAGTATATTGTTCACAATTGATACATTGATTAACTTTCGTTATGTAATATAATGTACAATTGATACTTACGCAGGACCGGCCGACAAAGAGTTGATGGAGTTGATGATCGTTACTGCACAACGTTCTAGGGCAGTCAACCCAAAAGTAGTATAATTTATTTTACTATCAATTCAAAATTCCTTTGCATCACTGCCCTATTGTTTAATTATTCGTTACTCTGTACATGATTTTACTTTGACCATTTCGCAGGATGAGGCGGTGTTAAGTACACAAGAAGTCAGATCGTTGGTATCTACATTCACAAATCTCAACAAGGGCCAAAACGGTATACTATCCAAAGCCGAAGTGAAACCGTACGTGGAAGGATTTCTCGTTGACGATCCAGAAGTCTTAACGAAATTTCAAAATGATGGCAATTTCGCCAATCTACCACCATTACTTCGCCTTTTAGCTAAAGATGTGAACGTTGCTGAATTCTTATTGTTCCACATATTTAAAAAATCTATAAATTAATAACTAATAATCATAAAACTTATAATTGAAATGTTTAAATTTATCAATTATTTATTATATTCAAAGTATTGCGCTTTTTCGTCTAATATAAAATGTTTATATATATATAAATATACACAAAAATAAAATTATATGATGTAGTAATAAGTAATATAATAACAAGTTGTATGATTCAGTACCATTGTTTTAAGTTAATTAAATAACCTGTTTTGATTATAAACATTTCAATTCGATGACGATTGATCGCCAAATTACCAGCAATGTATCGCCTGTTAGATAAAGAAATAAACGTTGCCGAATTCTTATTGTTCAACACAATATATGAAATAGATAATTAATAATCATAAAAATGGTATTTGAAATATTGAAATGTTTCAATTTATGAGTTATAGTATTTAAACTATTGCGCTTTTACGTCTAACATAATATATAGTATGTATGTACACAAAAAAAAAATTATATGATGTAAGAATAAGTAATATTATGATTAAACGATTCAGTACCATTATATAATTGTTTTTAACTAATTAAATTACGTATTATGATTTTAAATAACACTATTTTTTCTATAGTCAATACAAAAACTAAATTCTAAATTTGTTTTTCTTATGCGAATTGATCTAAGAGGGCGCACATTTTTCTGAGATCCCCCTGCAGTTAGATCACTTTCTTACCTGAACACTTGAGTTGTGTTATTTTTATATAAACATTTAATATTGTACCAGGATATGAAAAACGTTACAATATACTTTACTAAATACATATTCACACAAGTTGATTCTTCTGTACAAAACTCTACCAAGACCTATGTGGACCTAAGGTATAACGACTATCAATGTTGTCCTTTAGTTTGTAACGAATGAATCATTAAAAGATGACCCTAATATCCAATCAGTAAATGAAACCGCTAAAATCTATCTATAGTTGGTACTTTGGGGGGGGGGGGTAAAAGTTGAAAAAGTTTACTTCTTCACAGTCGAAATTTGAAAAAACCAAAAAAAAACCGTATGAGTTTTTAAGTTAGAACTTTTACTGGCTATAATTTTTTTTTTTTTTTAAATACAAACACGATGAACCAGATGTGAGAAACGAACAAACGTTAAAAACTGTCGGTTGGTAACGTCTACCCGTGTTAGGTTAGGTTAGGGCCCAATGGTCGGTATCATAATATTGTGTTTATTACATGATATCACAGACGACTAAATCGTGTAACTGATTATAGTAGACACACATTTTTTTGGGGAAAAAACCTATCCGTGTACTTATTAAGACACTTAATGATTTTGATACGACAAAACCACTGTCGTTATCTCGTTATTTTATCACCTGCGTTATATTACCTTACCGAAGGTCAACTATGAGTATATAAGGTCCAACTACCTGGAAATTATGAAGAGGACTGTTGTTTTTTGGATTCAGATTAAGTGTTGGTTTTTATGCAGTATATCGCCCCAAAATGCATTTCATATTACAACATCTTTTTAAAAGTATCACTAATGTTTTACATATTGTTATACTGTTATTCATTAAAAGAGATTCACGCTTGATTGCTTAAATTATCTAATATAAGATAATCTGCTTCGTGCTGATTTTAATTTTTTTAGTTTATAATTTTGTATAAAGTATTTCATTATATTATTTCCATGTTCAAATTAACCCTGCATTAGTTGCGCGGTTAAATACCACATGTGTAGTCGCTCGTCTACATATGTAGAACAATTACACTTTTGCTAATTAAAATGTATTATTGCAACATAAGTTAATGATTTTACCACATTATTCAATTCTCATATATATTGTGTATTTTGTATCATAGTTATACAATATTAATTAATTTAATACATATAAAATGAACTGTAACAATTTAAAGGAGAACAAATAAAACAATATTATTAAAATATATTTATATGTATAAATACATATATATATATATATACATATATGTATATAATATATTTATTATGTATGCGTATCTACTATCTATATATTATATAATATAATGTATAACACTAATATATAAAATTTTAAATATACCCATAAACGTACAATGTATAATAAGTACCCGAGTGGTCGCGCAATCTACAATAGTAAAACATGCAACTTTTTCGCTCAATATACAGAATTACACTAAAAAGTAAGTCCGAAATCATAACAGATATCAACTATACAATGTCATTTAAAGGTATTATAATTATCATTGTGATGAGGAAATCCTAAGACCATTTAAAATCAAATGTATTATCGGTGTACTACAATAGTAGAACGCGCGACTAATGCAGGGGTAAGATATATTTTTAATAGTATTTAAAAGTCACCAATGATAATACTTTATTTTATGTCTAGATCAAATCTCGTGAACAATTAACTTTATGATACTGCCCCCATACTATTATTAAAAAAACACAATTTTTAAAATCTCCATAAAAGTTTATTGTTAAATAACAGGCAACAACCGACAGCTAGTGGCTATAGTAATATTTAACTAATAAGTAATATATGTAGGTAAAATGTATTGTTTTCTCCATCACAGTACCAGTATACGATTTAATTTTTATTTAAATGTTATAAACGCAAATTCTCTTTAGAAAATAACAAGAAATTAATATAGAGTGTAGGGCAGTAAGACGGGCAAATTTCGAAATGTATTTAAATGGGAAAACACGTTTCACTACTCTACCCTTTACATTTTAAGGATCTATGAAAAGGTTTTTTTAGTTGCATGTTGTTTAGTACATTGTCAATTTAGTAAAATAGAAGTATAATAGAGCTTTGAAATAATATAATATATGAAGTATAAATAGTTCGTGTAAGATTGCTCTAATGGAAGTATATAATACATAAATATTAATTTTATTGAGAATAAGCGATTATAATTTAAACTATGGAGTACAAACAATTGAAACATGAATCGTCCACCATTCCAACCAAATTTAACAAGACATTGTAAATGTGTTATTTGGTCCACTACGTTTTTGCAAAAAAAAAAAACCAGTACAGTGGGGTCGGGGCATAGTGGGGACGGGGAGGTCACAGATTTACAAGAATTTTTAAATCTGAAAGTGATAAATCACTTCAATGCAAATCGGTAGTTAGTATTTTCAAGCCAGTACAGTCCAAACCAAACACAGTATAAACCAGCAAAGTTGGAAAGTATTAAATTGAGGTTCAGTATTCACAAATAAGCATCAAAGCGTTTATTTGAAAGTGATTTTATTCAATTTTATCACTTTTATTTATATTAATTTCTGTAGACCGGTGACCTCTCCGTCCCCTCGTTGCTTTGATTCCACTGTACTCTACTGTACTAGTCCTCTCGTATAAAATTACTACCCCGACTAGTTGTCAAACCGCCTGAAAGGAGATAACCAAAACTAAAAGGTATAATATACAAACGTTAGTTTGATCAGAGTAAAATATATCATACACTTAATCAGCCGTAGATATATTACACTTAAATATGCGTATTAGAAAAACGTATCGGTACCTCATAGAGAATAACGCATGTAAAAGGTGTAATAAGTGTGTCGTCTACAGCGTGCCAACAAAAAGCTGAGCCGACATTCCAGCCATCAGGAAGAACGCCTCTCTCACCAGATAAGGTACGTGAAAACCTTATATCACAACAAAAATATAGTTATAATAAGCTTTAAAAGAAGTAGGAAATTTTAATAACACACCCTTGCACACAATTAATTCCCTTGTGTTATAAGAGTCGTTTTCTCTTAGAGAAATATTATAACACATCAATATACCCCTTTGTCATTACTACTTTTCTTTATTATTACTACATATATTATATAGACTAAACGCCAATCAGCTTTTAGTAAAGTTAAATAATACACAAAATAACGCTGATACCAGTTGACAAAGAATGAACAGTGATATTGACTGAATTTTTTATTATTATTTGACTAGCACTTAGCTTAGTACGAGTAGTGTTTTTAAATACGTCTTTAACTATTAAGATTATGCTAGTTTTGTATTATTGCAACACAAATTTATCTTATCGAAATTATTAATTAAAAATATCCAAATACACACTAATTCCCTAAAAGTTGTTTTTTATGTAATTTTTGCAGTTTACCATACTTATTGCTACACGAATATTAAATGGAAACTCAACTGTGTTTTCAATATTAAACACAAAAACTATTGACTGCTGTTATTCCATGAAAACCTTACTCCATAAGAATATGCAACAACGATATATAAAAAAAAAAGTCATTTCATTTTACTTAGAAGTAAACACATTTCCAGATGTCAAATGCAAACCGTTTAACACAGAGTTTTCGTCTTGAGTACGAATGTACATAATATTTTTTCTTGTTATTGCGTTAACACAAACTATATTTTACCGGTAAAATGTTTTATAACGTGTTAATGGATCTCTTATGTTTATTGACCATAATTGCACTCGCATCATACTCGCACCAGTTTTTGCCGGATGAAAAAGATACTGAAGAACTTATCAGACTACTAAATACACTTCTTAGAAGATCTGGATGGGGTCGGATCAATCACCTAGAAGTCAAAGATTACGGTAATATACAAGTACAGTCTTCTTTTTCAGGAATAGATCTATTTATAGCCCCCGAATTTTCCGATCAATGTAATGTCACTGAAGAAAACGTGGAAAAAAAATACTGCATGACCATTATGCTGTTGGGATGTGTGTATGCAAATGCTTTGTGTAAGTTCATACATTTAATAACACCTCTTATGGATATCTGTGATACTGAGATATATCATTCAAATGCAAGAGAATATAACCAAAGACATTACTACAAACTAACGAATAATTCAGGTGAGCCCTTTAAAGTACTTCCTGGTAACTATGTCAAATCCTGTAAACTCTTCAGCACCGTTTTGGAACAATTTGAAAATAACAGACGGATGTTTGATTACATGTCATATGCGTTGAGTTATTTAGTAGAACCGTTGAAAAAAGTCAATAAACATCAAGTAATCCGAAAAAATATACAATTACTTACAGATAGCGTAATTGGGATTCGAGATATAAATACTACACTATATCCTCAGAAATATGTATACCACGAGGACGCCGATGAAAATATT